GCCGAGCTAGATGCGGCGCGCGAGGCAATCCACGCACAGAAGCGTCTCTTCCGCGACTTCCTGTCACAACACAACCTGAAACCTTACGTTGAGGGCCTCCTGCCTTTCACTCGGTGGATAACACCGGCGCCCCTTCCGAAGTACGTCCTCTGAACGCAGCACAACACCTACTCCCATGGCAACTGACACAACACCTCTGATCCCTTTCGGTCCTTTTCACCACGGGCAGACGTTTCGACACACGGTTCTACGTTACCTTCCTGGACGAGGCGCGGCCTGCTGGGTTCTCCTCAGGGGACAAGCAAGAACGGCTTCCCACCCCCGACGGCGGCCAGGAGGTCATCGAGGCACGCTTTCTCCACCCTGCAAAGGCGCTCGAGGAGTTTTATGCGCAGCGCATCTCCTTGTTCCCGCCTCAGTTGTATCTTCTCAAGACGCTCGCGGAGGTACTCCAGGGCACGCAGAATACTGCAGAGCAACGCGATCGAGTGCGGACCCTGTCGCAGGGCGCGTTTGGACGCATGGTGATCAACCCGCGTGCACTACAAGACGCAGCGGCACAGGCTGAGGGGTTCAGCGTATTGACCTACGAAGGCGACGAGACTCGCGGGGGATCACCTGGAAGACGCCACCGATCTCGCGTGAGATTCGGCCAAGGAGGGGTAAGCTTTGATTTGTGCAGTCTAGGAGGCAGACAGACTCATCGCAGACATTTCAGGCTGCCACGCAGATCCTCCTGGAGCGGAATTTCGATATATTCACCGAGATCGAGGAGCATGCGTTCTCACAGCCTGCGAAACTGTGACCGGCATCTCTGGACAAGGGGCACCATGCACATCCTACATGGCAACAGCGCGTTGTGGCGAACAAGACCCACCATGTTCCATACCCTCTGTATACACGGATCCTTGAAACAGACTATGCCCTTGACGCTCTATGCGTTCACTTCGACACAAGGCGCACTGCAGAATGCTGAATCCGGTTACGTCCCTGGCTCATTGCTCCGCACGATCTTGTTCAAAGCAGCAGACAAAGCAGGCAGGTGTGCAATGCACTCGGGTAAGACAAGACAGTGTATATCAAGCAAGGCTACACATTATCCCACGAGGGGGCTACGAGAACGTGGTCTGAGGCTACAGGTCATAGGGCGTACCTGATGGTACCAACCCTGGGGAACGTTATGGATACAGTGGAAGCCAAAAAGGTACAACAAGAACCGCAGTCTGAAACGTCGGAACAGGAAAACATAAGTGATGCAAGGAGCCCAATGAAGTTCGTGCAGGGTGGAGAAGCAAGCAGTGACGATTAGTAGAGGTGAACGTCCAATATTAGAAGGTGTTGTAAGAAAATTTGTGACGGTGACCGTAGTCGCGTGATTGAAGTCATGAAAGCCATAAACCCAGAGACAAGGAGCATTCAATGTGTGTAGTTTTGTGCGATTAGGTGGGCGGAACAAAGCGTGAGTCGTGTGAAGGGAGAAGGGAGTCGTTAGAGGAATAAGGGTCTAGAGGTTGAAGACCTGGTAGTCGAACTGGACGAAGTTGCCCCAGTAGCTGGTGTTGCAGGCACCGACGGTGGCCATGCCGGACTGCCCGAGGTTGATCGCGTTCACGTTGTCCGTGCCAGCGACGTTCCACGTAGAGAAGCCGTTCGCGTTGGGCGAGCCGGTGTGGAGGAAGCTGTCGTACCGAGCCTGCATCTCCGTGATCAGCGCTGATTGCGCGGCGGTAGGGTTTTGGACGGTGCCGAACTACAAGGGCGGGTCAGCGCATTGAATTTACAACAGACGTTCGGTGGGAAGAAGACTCACAATGATCTGAATATCGTCTTGATGGCAGACAGCGCCGCCGCCCGTGCAGAACGGAACTCCGTCGTTACCAGGGTAGGTTGCGCCGACCTTGTACTCCCCAACGTACGCCTTGCCGCCGTTTCCAACCCAGTTGCGTGCGAACGTCCAGGTCGCACAGCGCCAGATCTGGTCCGTGCCGAGTTCTTCAAGCTGGGGACGCTGATCGGGCTCAACTCCATCGACTGCGGGAGACGCAGCATAGAGAGCCGTAGCCAAGATGCGAGACGTGCGGGGACTGCCGAACGTGGATTGGACAAGGTCCTCGTAGAGAGAATCGTCGACGTCGAAGGGAATGTTTCCGTAGATCGTCGGCCCCGCCTCGTTGCGAACGGTGGAGACGATGATTGGCTTTGACTGCTTGGGAAAGGTCTCCGTGAGGTCAAGAGGGTTGGTGATCAGTACGTTGTCGCGGACCGGACGGATGGGCTCCGATGCGCCAGCGGCGGGATCAAGGTCGCCGTCAACCGCCGCATCTAGGAGGGTATTCTGAGCGGACATGATGGCATCGACGGACAACGCATTAAGGCAAGCCGAATCCGAAGTGCTGCAGTTAAGATTTGTGGTGAACGCATCAAGCACTTCCTGGTGAACGCTAGGAGAGAGGAAACCGAAGTCCTATCGGCTGATTAGCGGAGAGATCATCGGAGAGGCACAGAGGAGCTCACCATCGGGTCTGAGTGGAGAATTGCCGACTGGAAGAGGGACGACGCGGATGGAGCCGCGAGGATTGCCCGAATCATGTTTGCGCCGGCGCTCTGTCCAGCAATGGTGATCTTTGAGGCAGAGCCACCAAAACTCGGGATGACAGCCTTCAGGAAGCCAAGAGCGTTAATAACGTCGGCAACCGCAAGGTTGTGAGTACCGTCCGGTGCCAGAAACCCGAGCTGTGCGAGACATCAGTCTTGTCACACGAGACCGGCGGCGTTGTACTCACTGCGCCAAGACGGTACTGGATGACCGCAACAATTGACTTGGTTGCAACAGCGAGCTTAGACCCGTCCAGTCCGGGACCTGTGGCCGAGCCACCAGTGAAGGAACCGCCGTGGATCCTGAGAGCGAACGTCAGTCTAGCGCAACTGCTAGCGGACGGGAATTCGCACATACCACATGAACGTCGGTGCGTCACTGCCTTGAGAGATCGACGATGGGATGTAGAGTATCATCGACAGGCAGTCCTCCGTGCCGACGGTATCGTCGTTGGACGTTTGCACGCAGGGAAGCGGCAGCGCGGTGACGTCGGAGGCGCCATTTCTAGCAACAAACACCTCGTAAGAACCGCAATCTATGCGGAGGAGACGGCGTGATCACTCACGGTAGCTCCCAAGTGGTAGCAAGGACAGATGGCTTCCACCGCGTGGCAGATGCGTACTTGACAGAGAAACGCGTTGCACCCGAGCCGTCCGACGTGCCGTGCGCGGTGCCAATAGGCGTGTCAACCGACGTCTGGGAGTTCGAGCTCTGACGGGGACAGAGAGCCCTCTGGATCCTCGGCGAGAGCTTGCACAGCTCGGCCTTCCAGGTGTACGGAGGCATAGAGATGTGCGTCGGGAGTGCCGTCGCCCAAGACGCGAAGAGAAGAGCAAAGACCAGGGACTGAATGCCGACCATGTTGCTCTACAAAATATACCGAGGCAATTAGGTAGAGTTAGAAGTCTATGGGGCGGGAGGTGCTGCCTGGAGGAAGGAGCCCTCGCCGGGGGTTTATATGGACGAGCTGACCGGACCTGCGTCAGCCGTGTAGGGAACCGGAACCTCTAGAATACGAGAGCCAGGGGAAAATGTCGGTAAGGAACAGCGGGGTGAGGGTTCGCTGCCATGTCTGAGCATTTTGACTGGATCGAGAACAATGCCGTCTGGACAGAGAACCACACGCTGGGCGGTGCATACAGCGCTCGTCCTTCCACGTGGGAACTCGCCCTGCTCGTTTGCCTGATGTGGCTGCTGCCTTGTCCTGCAGATGGCAGGACGAGCATCCGCCGGCACGCGTCGGTCCCTGGCGAGCACAACTTCTGCCTCTTCGTGCCTGTCCGGCGGATATGCGCCTTGGTTCTCTGTGATTGCCTCGTCGGCAACGCTCTCCTTGCCATGACGCAGATCCTGCAACGGGCGCTACCCGGCATCGGCAGACAACCACGTCCAAATAAGTACGGCGTGCAAACAACAGTTCAATTGCTTCAGGGACCTGGGACCGCCGCTAAGGCACATACCCTACTGGCACAGCGAATCGCGACTTGAACGCTCCTCTCCATCAACTCCAAGGTCCATATGGTTCCGCATTCTGTGATACAGCCCTGGAGAGTTCCGGGCAGCCAACAGGTTCGCAATACATAGACATTGCAGCCACCGTTGGCACTCACACAGTGCAACCCACACGGAACCGGGGGTACTTAATACAGCTATCCTCGTGCTGCCACTGCGCCGGCGGAGACAAGCCTGCTCATCAACGGTCAGTGACAACCGCGCCGCCGCGGCCCAGCTCTGGAGCACGCGGTGTTTTTAATTATGGCAGCGCAGCAACCTTGTCCCAGAGACTCAGAGTCGCGGGAGCATGCTTCCTCACTATGGGCTGACGAGCGCCCCGCCGAGCGCAGGCAGCAAGAACAAGGTGTCTCCGTCCCTGAGGAGCGGACCTTCGTATGCACCGAGCGAGTGAACCGCTCAGGTCGCATCGTTTCGACAATGGGCGTGCCTGTACAGTGAATTATCTCTCACTAGGACTCGAACGAACCACGACTCTTCCGATAGAGACTCTTGTCTGAATTGTGGCACAGTAGTAGCGAGGTTCACTGAAGAACAGCACGAAGGCAGCATGTCTCCACCCTTGAGAAGGTCCAAAGGACTCACTTGCAGAGAAACACGGACGGGGACACTTCGCCAAAGCTTCATGCCCCGTCCCAGGCATCTACAACCGAGTACCTCCGAATTCTTCTGCTCGAGGGAGTCCCCAGGAAACCCCCAGGACGGGGCGTCGGGGAGTGGGCGAGTCGAAGGAACACTTGACTGGTGCGCTCGGGTACCGAGGGCGGGAGCGAAGTTATCTCCCCCGGACATATAGGCGATTGACAGGTCCATTGACTGGGGGCATGACGGGAGCGAAAGACCAGGAGGTCTACGTCTGGGACGTGCAGTGGGACAAGTCAAGGAAAAAACATTCCCGTTAGCCGATTTGAACGACTGACCTCGTCATAAACAATGCCTTGCAGATGGTACTAGTGACGCGCTCTACCAACTGAGCTAAACGGGATTAGGATCGCCAACTCTAGCGGCGTATAGCAGGTTACGCCAAAGTCAAACTACTTATGTACAATACAGTGGCAAGTTGAATACTTGAACTTGAACGTAAGTACGTTGGAGTTGCAGCAACTGCAGAGCGAGCGAGAAGCCAGGAACTTCAAGTCCGGACGGGATATCTGACTTACTTTTGTCACATGGGGGTACGGGCAATGCCAATGGGGGTACTTAAGCCGTCACTTGTAGGCTTAAGCTTGATATGATCATACAACACTTAGTACTTACGAACCTTCGCTATGAGCATGCCCGATCATATACTTGTCTTGGTGGCATGCTGCTCGGATTCGGTGCACGCCCCTTGGTAATCGTACTGTACGGGCGGTCAATATGTTTTTGGCTGGAGAAACCGGGCCAAACCTACTCTTAACCTACTCTGAGCTGGACAACCGAACGGGGCCATGTGCTCAAGTCTCAGTCCTTGAGCTTGAGCGCTTGAGCGCGCGTCTTCCCGACCAGGACCCGAACGCCTTGCGTCATAGGCGCCTCCCACACCTTGACATACATATACTTGCGCTGCCAGGGCTCTCACCAATCCGTCTTTCCGAAGTCAAGTCTACCGCACACAAGTCGCCTTGTCTTTGCTTGTTTATGCCACTGGTGCTGGTTGATATACGTAGCCTGACCAGTGAAACAATCAGAGAAGCTCAACCGCGTCGAACGAGAGAGCGAGGATGTCTACGGCGAAGGTGTAAGTCGTATTGGTTGAAATGCTACGCAACTGTGCTGACGCAGCTGAAGGTTGACAGTGGGCTCCGCTGTTGGATCCATCCGCGACCTCTTCGCAAAGATCAAGTCCATTGACGACAAGCACGGCAAGTTCGACCTGGTGCTATGTCTGGGCGACTTCTTTGGGCCCCCAAAGGACGCGGCAGATGCGTACGAGGAGGATCACGAGGTCATGCAGCTGCTGAATGGTCGTTTGGAAGGTCGCGTTACGTCGCTATTCCTTGTATGTATCCCTTGCTCAATGTATCGCCGTTACAGCCCCAGTCGAATGCTACATCATGCAAGGCGAGTACCCGCTCCCGGCCCCTGTCATTGAAAAGTTCGCGAAGACTGGAGGGGCATTGAGCCAGAACGTCTTTCTGCTCCGTGAGTGTGTTCCGCGTGACAGCAGCATTATTCAAGCTAGAACGAGCCCTTCGCGCAGACAAGTCCGGGGTCTTGACCACAGCCCAAGGAATTCGCATAGCGTGTCTCGCTGGTGTATACGACTCAAATGTGTACGCTTCTGAAGATGCCCTTGTAAGTATTCCCCTCTACGCATGGTGGTATCTCGATCCTGACGGTGCACACAGGGGTTTACCTCCCCCTACTTCACCTCGAAAACTGTAGAGAAGCTTCTTGCCAACACCCTGACCACCTCGAAGCCAAAGGAGCAAAACTACACCTCCCTCGCCTCGATCAAGTCCTCGTCGACATCCTCTCAGCTCGTTGACATTTTCATCAGCAATGCGTGGCCCTCAGGTATCACGCACTTCTCATCCGCTCCCTTGCCCGCCCCGGAACTCGCCTCCATTGGAGTAGAGCCCGTGGCAGAGATTGTACGGAAGACGAAACCCCGATACCACTTCACGTCTGGAGGCGGCCATCCGCCGCGGTTCTGGGAACGCGAGCCGTATACCTGGGACGAAGATAATGGCCGAGTCAGCAGATTCGTCAGTATCGGCGCCTTTGGTGGCGAACAGCCATCTGGAAAGAAGCCGCGAGTGAGTACAAGTATTCATGACTGGCCGACACCTATCGTCGGGCTGACAAGGGTCGTGATATAGTGGTTCTATGCTTTCTCGATCGCGCCACTCAGCGCAACCAGCGAGCCTCAACCAAAGCCCGCGAACGCCACTCAGAACCCCTTCTTGCACCGCCCTCCGAAGCGACCACTCGACACTGGGGCGCAACAGCCTGGCAAGCGAAGCAGGACAGGTATGTACCCAGTCTTCGTGCTTATCAAGTATCGCGTCTCTGAACCGAAGCAGATGGCCAGGGCCCCTCAGACAAACCGCCTGCTGGATACAAGTGCAAGATCTGCGAGTCTCCAGAGGTACGCAGTGCGGGCAGTCATGGTACTTGCGGAACTGACGTAGTAATTGCAGCACTTCATAACGGACTGTCCGGACAGAGAGAAGCCCCATGAAGGTTATATTTGCAGGATCTGCAAAGAGGTGAGTTAGCTCACTTCATCCGTGGAGGTCAAGATAGTTGCTGATCTTGATCTCAGTCTGGTCATTTCATCCGCGACTGCCCAGTCAAGAATGCAGTGGGCGATACGGGCGGGCGGAAACCACGCGAAGGCTATGTCTGCAGAGCGTGCGCTAGTGAACTGCACTACATCGAGGACTGCCCCGTTGCGAACCAGACTGGACACGGTAACCGACAGGGCAGGCGCGGCCCACCCAAAGAGATAGCTCGTACGTACATTTTTGCAAACAGACTAGCGGTGTGCTCACAGGGCTTGCAGCGGACGAATGCTGGTTCTGCTTGTCGAATCCCAACCTTGCGTAAGTACGCGCCCCGATCGAGCCTGCACATTCGTACTGATGATACATGCAGCAAGCATCTCATCGTTTCCATTGGGTCGGAGTGCTACGTGACTCTTCCCAAAGGGCAGATCATTCCAACGCACCAGGGCGCAAACCACCCGAACGTGCCGCGCGTACCAGGCGGAGGCCATGTCCTCATAGTGCCCATCACGCACTACCCCACATATCTCTCCATCCCTCCAGACCTAGCCGAGCCTATCGTTGATGAGACGGAGAAGTGAGTCGCTCACAAGGGCTCTATATGGCGCCTTACTCATGCTGTGGGCTGGACAGATACAAGGCAGCCCTGCGCTCAATGTACGCCAAGCACGGTGCTGCGGCAGTCTGCTTTGAGGTCGGGCGGATGAGTGCCAAGGGCGGGCATGCGCACGTACAGGTAGTCCCGGTACCCAGCAAGCTGAAGAACGCCGTAGAGGACGCATTCAACGAGGAGGCCCGCGCACTAAACATCACGTTCGAAGACGACCCGGACGAGGCCCTACGTGCGTGTGCAGGTGGGCGAGGGGGTTACTTCCGTGTCGACTTGCCGGATGGGAGGAAGATGGTGCACTTGATGCGCGACCACGGGCCGTTCAGTATACAGTTTGGAAGGTGTGTCGTTTGATGCGGCTTGGTGATGACAGCGACTGACGGCTTTGCAGGCAAGTGCTGGTGTCTATTCTCGGGATGGCAGACCGGTTCGACTGGAAGGCTTGTACCCAATCGGAGGAGGAGGACAAGGAGGATGTGGCAGCGTTCAAGGCGGCCTTCGCTCCTTTCGATCCGTCGTTGTGATACGAAAGACGTGTGTACATAAGCTCTCTGCTCATCTTCTCGTCACTTACGGCAAAGCTTGCTCACCGCGAAACATATTCCTGTCGAATATGTCGCGGAAAAAAAGGGTATGTTGTCACAACTATAGATACATATCTGAAGAGACCGAGCCAAATAATCCGTACATAGAGCAATCCGGGGTCAGTCGGATTCCTCTTCCTCGGAGCTCTCTTCAGAGCTCCCCGTCTCTTCTGCGTCGGGGTCCGCAGTGTTATTAGCAGTCTGGTCCATGTCCTCCATGTCGGCATCTAGGTCCTCCTCCTCCTCCTCTTCCGAGGAGTCGTTCTCGTCTTCGTCCATTAGCGAGTTCGCATCGCCAGTGTGGTCGGTCCCGTCTGATCCTTCCGACGCGTCGTCGGCCTGAGGGGCAGCAGGAGATCCAGGAAGGCGCTCAGGTCATGTGTGGCAATATCACCGCTGTCACTCACGTCGTTCTTCTCCTCGTGTTGCGTCCATGTCCGGCCGATGGGGATGAGGAAGTTGAACCCTCTGTTCTTGATCTCCGCGTTCTATCATCCGCAATCCCGGTTCCACAGAGACACAGGCGAAGACGACAGACAACGTCGGTATGCTCGCACACTGGCAAGTTGTCGGAAGGTAGGGACGCACCTGGGCCTCAATCGCGGTCTCCTCGTCGCTGAGCTCGTCCATCTCGCGCCATATGTCCCGGTAGTTGATGAACCGTTCGCGTCGCTGGAAAGACGGAGCAGGCGGAATCGGATGCGGGTGTGGCGGAAGGGGCAGGAGCCGCGGGAAGATGGGGCTGCGAGGGAGGACAGTGGGGGAGGACACCGGAGCCACCATGTTGTGGTCGCGGTCACGGTCAAGGTCAGTGGCGCGGAGGCAAAGACGCGTCTGTGGCTGAAGCGCCCAAGCTGCTGTACCTCCCTCCACGTTCATTGGCGCGTTTACCTGCCGTACAAACTACGTTTTGTACTTAAGTACTTACGACAAGAATGAACTGCGGTAATCAGCGATGCTTCGTTCAGGGCTCCAGCGGCACGTCTTATAGTCGCTGTCAAGTCTTCCGGGGGCGTCCCTGAGCTTCCTTGCTTCGCCCGTGATGGACTCATGGTCTCTGAAACTGCAATTTTCATGAACTCAATGGTTCATGTTTCAACAACACCACGATGAAGCCCGACGATAGCGTTCTTCGAGTGTACGGTCGTTGGAGGGAACAATATCTCGTCGCCGTCCCTGGACGGCCATCCTGGACCCTCACCCACGTATACGACGCGCCGATCCCTCTCCCTGCCCCTCCGGGTGTCGGAGACATGGTCCAAATCATTCAGTGTTGTGCGGGTCGGGTGACTTTTTGGGTGACGGTCGTTTAGTCGGAAGGTCGGGGTAAAAGGTCGCTGATGCGACCATGACCGCTCCTGATATGGTAAGGACAATGGGCGCTCAGGCATATGGACGCAATGTCGTACTCGGGCTACTCGGCAATGTACTCGTACGTCGTACATGTCAGTTTCAAGGCTGCAATATAGCTTCCGCAAGCTCCTCAGCATGACGTCCCTCGCGTACCAACGCTTCGTCTGACAGCTGCTCTTCCGCGATGTTGTGCTTCATGTGTTGCGCGCAATACACATACGCCTTT